TTCCAACAACTGTCCCCTCACTGAGCTCTAGCCCTCTGGGATAAACATGACAGATTCTTTTCTCCTCCTAGCTAAGAGGGAATGAAATCTGCAAGAGTAAAATTTCTAAAGGACATGCTGAGCAATGAGCACAAAATGGAGTAATGTGTGACTTTGAACTTTTTAAGCCAAAATTGACCTGCAATGAGATGTCCCTAAGGAGTCAAGTGCAGAAGAGCAGCAACTGGTATTACAGAAGCTTCAGATCTGCAAGGAAAGCAATGGTAAATCACCTGAAGCTGATCAAGGAAGGCAATAAGTGTGTGTCATATGGGACCCACTGCTAGAATGGAATCTTTGAGAACAGTACCTCTGGGAAAAACTGGAAAAGGTAAAACTTTCAGATGGACCATCCCCACTGAAAACCCCTAAACTAAACTGCTGCTTAATATTTGAATGAAATGTCGAAATCCCTACATTTAAAAGTGCTTACAACTCTTTCCAGTTTTTAAATGTTTATTTCTTTAGCTCTACATTCTAATTCAGCATTAAAATTTATGGGTTCTAAAGCCTATCCATCAGATTCTTGCAAACCCTGATGAGTTGAATGGATTGCATGGATATTTGGAATGCATCTAACCCACTGAATATAAGGACCTGTATGTATAAAAAATTGTTTATGCACAGACTCTAAACAACCTTAAAAAAAGGTTGTTTTTTCATCTACCTGTGAATAATTATTATGACCAGAATAACAGAATCATTAATGTTGGAAAAGACATCTGGTATTAAGTTCTAACCTTCCCAGCACTGCTGTGTTCACCATTACGCCATGTCCCTAAGTGCCACATTTAGGTATTTTTTTCTGAACACTTCTAGGAATGGTGATTCTACCACTGCTCTCAGGAGCCTGCTGCTGTGCTGTCTAACCAGACTTTCAGTGAAGAAACTTTTCCTAATCTCTATTTTAAGCCTTCTCTGACATAACTTTAGGCCATTTCTTCTCATACTGTCACTTATTTCCTGTGAAAAAAACCCCACACCCCAAGATTCCTTTTGTCAAGGCTAATCCCTTTCCTAGTCCTGCTGACATTACTATTCATGATACAGACCAGGATGCCACTGGCTTTCTTGGCCAGATGAGCACCTCGGCTTGTGTTCAGCTGCTGTCACCAGCACCTCCAGGTCCTTTTCCACCAAGCAGCTTTCCAGCCACTCTGCCCCAGCTAGTAGCACTGCCTGGAGCTGTTGCGATCCAAGGGTAGGACTTGAAAATTTGCCTTGCTGAACATCACACAATTGGCCTCAGTCCATCAATCCAGCCTGTCCAGATACCTCTGCAGAGCTTTCCTACCCTCCAGCAGCACTCACACACAACTTAGTGTTGACTGAAAAATTTCTGACAATTCCCATAGCTCCCTTTAAAGAAAATCTATTTAATGCTTCTCTCTTGTAAACATATGCACACACATATTGTGATAAATGCAAAAGCTTTGTCTTTCAGAATTTAAGAAAGTGATACATCTTATAGTAATGATCACCCTGTAAGCAGGTAAACTTGCAGATATGGCTGAAGCACAAGGTATGAGAGCAAATTCAATGATCAAGATTGTAATTTACACAAATCTGTCCAACTCCCATATCATATTTGAAAGTGTTAATAAAGTTAGGAAAAAGGACACTCTAGAATTTGGAAGTTCACCACACAGAAGTGATATCTGTCTATCTGGGCTAAGACACAAATCACTGTGTGTTTAAACACAACAAATATGTGAACCTCTATCTGAGTAAAGCTCTAATTTGTGATATGAAGAAATCTTACTTTATTGACTGCAAAACCATGAAATGCAAAAGTATTCATAATGGTTATCCATGTACCTGCTTTCCTTTGTCCTTTGGTATAAAAGCTGCAGGACTATTCATTATTCATAAAAGATTTGCACCCATTGTTCTTCAGTTTCCTGTATTCATAAAGCTGACCACTATGCCGCAGGTATTGCAAACTGCCAGATTGGGATGGTCACACTCACACTCATAAAATAGCCTTCTTTCACTACATAGTGCTTCTCAGTTTGAAAAATCCAGAAATTCTTTTGTAATAACTCTATCAGATATTTCTGTGAATGCAGTAATTTTTACTTAATTGAAGGGGCTAGGAGAAGAAATAGAGATTAAATAATGCAATCTGAAGCTGAAATCCTATTATGAATCTATACAGGTATAGACTAGAGTTTTGTGTATGTCCAGCAAATTTCTGCTGCTGTAGCTTAAAAGTGAATTTCAGCAAGACAGCACTTGTCAGTATACAAAGAGTACAGCTGGATCTATTTCAGTACAGCTGGATCTATTTCAGAGACCACTTTACACAGAGAATAAAGTAAATTTTAAAATAATATTTCAGCAGCATAAAACAATCCTCCAGCTACTACTGGTTAACTGTGCAATTCCTATTAATAGTTTTGAGTGGGGAAATTTGGCAAATGTTCTTTATTTACTTTAGCATCCTAAGAGGATTTAAAGTAAATCTGAAATTATAAAAATGCTGTCAGCAGAGAAATACACACCAGAGGAGAATTTAGTGATCTGCTTAAAACCTAGTTTTAAATCCTTTTATTGTGCTTTTTTACTCCTACTCTGACCAACAAGGATTTGAAATAGAACCATGAAAATAGCATATGGATAAATGTTGGAATTCTAAGCTTACATCAAGGTAGTAGAAATTCCTTTGATCTACCCTCAGGAGTTCAGGTTAAAAACAAAGTTTGTTTTTAATTCCACACCCCAGTTATACTACAAAAAAGTCAAAAGTGTTTGCACTTCATTTATTCTTTTGTTAATCCATCCCTTTTCTCACTTTTACAATTTTTCTTGTTGCTGCTCTTTCTTCAGGAGAATGCAGCTAGCTAGGAGAACTGATTTCTCTGTTACCTTCCATTAATGAAGATACAACGTTTTGGTCAGTTCAGCATTATCTTATAAATCTTAGTTTGATTTTTGTGACAGAGTGTAGATTGTCTCTAAGCAAAATGCCAGGAATACCTTCATCCACTGGCAAATGGAGGTCAGAGCTGTCTCTTTTCATTGAGGCCAGGAAAGCTCTAGCAGCTCAAAGGTGAAGCACATTTCTTGAAAAGAGCTGAGATACACATGGCTGTAATTCTTTATCTAGACAATGTTAACAACAAGCCTAATGATTGCCTGCAAAGATAAAGAGTCAGAAAATTTGGGTTGGCTAAAGAAAATTTTAGATTGCTTCTATAGAGTTTTAAAAATTAATTAGTTTTAAACCCATTAACCTATTGGAAGAGTCAGAAAAAAATACAGTCATAAAAAAAGTTAACATTCCTGGTATCAAAGGAAAGTTTATGGTGTTGTTATGGTATATTTTGTAATTACCTTCTATTTGCAGCTGCTTCACATAATACATAAAAAACACTGCACCAAATTAGCAATATGAGTGGGCCAATGTTATCTAAGAGAACAGCTCATGTCGGTTCTAAAAATTATCTGTGCCTTATTGTACTAATCCAAATTAAACGTTAATTTTATTTGCTAAAAAGTGGAAAAAGAAAAAAAGGAATAGGTAAAAATAGGATAGATGTCTTCTCCACACATGTAATTTCAGTTTGGTTCAACTATCTTCACCAGACAGTTAAATGAAACCAACGTATTTTGTCTGGAAAACATCAAGGAACACTCACATTTTTATTTGTCTGCCAAAGAAAGATGGCAGCATCCTAAATCATCACAGCTCTCCACAAGCTCTGTGGTCAAAAGCTTTTCTGAAGACAATGCTGAGCTGCAAAAATCTATGTGTAAGTCTCAGACATCTGCTTCGATCAGATCCAGGGTTCTGAGTCAAATCTATATCTGTGTAGGAGAGCTTAAGGTTTTGCCTTCCTTAGCAATAAATGCATAAATCATAATTTGCATGCTCACATGAATGAGTCATCTGCATCTGGAAAAGATCAAGTACTTATATCTTTGTCTGCTGTTCAATTGGGCAAGTACAGGTAAATATAACCTGCCATCAACATGTGCTTCTTAATCAAACTTTGTTCAAACGCTGTTTAATTGTTATCTCTGAAAGTCTGCACTGTAAAAGTCATCTATGCCAAAAAATGTTACAGCATTAAGGAAAAAACACTCTTCCTGAAAAATAAAGGAAAACAGATTGTCTCATATGCAATAGTATAGCAGGCATATAAAAATTTAATTCAATCTGAATTTTTGGATTAATTAGATAATTTTATATGTGGTCTTGATTTTCTCATTTTGAAAAAAGCACATTAGATGGTCTGTTAGTCATACAGGACCAGAGTTCTCTGTTAGAATACTGGGTTAGGAAACAGAGGCCACATCTATATGCTATTAAATAGGAACTACTATTTTGAAACAAAAATACCAGTTTCTGAGTGGCTAAAAGTTTTAAAAAAGATGAAATAACATGGAAATAAGGTAGTTTTCTGCTGGGAAAGAGTAAACAAGTTTCTTAGGAAAGAAAACTGCCTGGAAACAGCTGTGTCTTAAGTTATTTTTACTTTAACCTTCAGGAAAGAGAGCTGGGCCTTGATTCTGTCCAATGTTAAGGAAAGGGAATATACAAAGACTTATTTTGTGTTAATCTTGAGAGAAGGAAAATCCTTTTTGGAGACTTTGAAAGGAAAAAACCCTTAAAGGAAGGATAGTTTGACATCAGAGATGAGGACAGAGTTATAAGAGCAGGTTTGTTTTAAGTTGTGAATAGATTGTTCAATTTCCCTCTGAAACTGCAAAATAAATTTTTGGGTTTATGTTGTTTTCTTCATTTGCTTCAGTTCTCTGTGGTTGGCAGACCATCTGTTCTCAATGTTTGTATCCTTTACACTATGGATTTAAATGCTAAAAACTTCTTTCTTCAAACAGTGTCTGCTGCTATTTCATGTTTACCACTTGTACTAAACTGATATTCTACCAGCAAAGGGAATTAAACACATTCTATACATGTCCTATAATTATATTCATAAATAATTACAAATTACCTTTTTTGATGAGTGTGATGGTTTGGCATTCAGGGAAAGATGTGGAAACCACCACAGAAGTAATCTGTTTGAGAAAAGCTGCTGGGAGTTTCTTCTGTGTCTGACATCAGGCCAATAGCTGGCCGCTTCTGAGAACTGACAGCATTTTGTACCACTGAAAAGTTCATCTCTGTGAATACCACCTTTTAAAAACCCAAGCCTGGGAACTTCTTCCTCTTTCTTTCCGACCTTGAAAGTCAGCAGAGCTCTGGTGCGGCTGGCCCCGCTCCCCTGCGGCCTGTGCGGCCTGTGCGGCCTGGGGAGGGCTGGGCCGGAGCCCAGCGGTTCTCAGGCAGGGGATGGAGACTGCGGGACCCCCACCCCTCCCCGGCCTGCACAGACGGCTTCAGGCCAAAGATCATCCTCCCCTCCCTGCGGCAGCTGGGCTGGGAGAGGCACCAGCACGGCCTGAAATCTGACACTGTAACTACTTGCTGCAGCCTGGACAAGATACACAGATGAGACCTGCAGACTTTAATTTTCTCTCCAGGGAGACAAAAGGACAAGAGTGATCAACATGTAAGGAGACAACATGAAACATCAAGGTCAGTAAAAGAAGGAGTCAGGCCTCAGATGTAAGGAGAATGAAGAGATGCTCTAATAAGCTGAAATATTCTTTTTGTAGGGCCATGGAGATGGACACATATATCTCCTTAATTCATGAAAGTGAATGAAGGGCAATGAAGTATTCAAGCTGTAGATCTGAGCAAAGGTATCCATTGATGAAGACAAAGCAGATGGTGGAGTAGCTGTGATCCCATAAGACATCTGAACAGAGAGAGAGAGATGAGAGTGATGACCCTTTGCCCCCAGGGAGTGAAAGAGAAACCTGTTCCCAGAGATGATCAGAGACAGATGGAGAAAACCTTTGCCTTTGAACAACTCATCCTTAAAATAATACCCCTTGAGTTCATGGCCCATGGAGACACCTCTAGAAGGGCTGTGAAAATGGGAGGAAATGTTACAGTGGCAGAATTTTTGCCAGATGGCTGCTATTCATAGAAATGAAAAGCTATGAGAAAATTATTTGTAGTGGAGAAATCTACATGGAATGACAAGAGAAAGCTCCTCTCCCTACAAGGACTGATAGAAGACTATTGTGTAGTTGGTACTGCTTTAACATCCCAGGTTTTGTCTCTACGTGGTCAGTTGGGAAAGGAAAAGTTGCGTGGCAGGAAAGGTATTCTGGAGGTTTTATTCTGGTTTCTAATTCTTGTAGTCCTGTTAATAAAGTTTCTTTGTTCTTTTTAAGTTTTAAGCCTGTTTTGCCCTTCTCTTAATCCATATCTCACAGCAAGAAATGAGTAAACACTCTGGTGATTTTAGCTAGCACTAAAACCCACCACAATGAGTAAACCATTTTTCAATTTTTTCCTTCGGCTTTCACATCATACAATGTATAACAATTTAATAGAAGTCTGTGTGCACACAAAGCCTCAAAAAACCCTCCATACTTCATATTGGAAGAAGTGTCAGCATGAATCTTGCATTAACGTACATTAACTAAGTAAATTAAACACAATTTGTCAAAGCATATAAGAAAAACCATATTTGCTTAGAAAAAGAGAATGCTCCTAGTAAGGTCATATCAATTAAACAATTTTGTAGCCTTCTGCCCCTCAGGTTGCTTGATTAAAATAGTAGCTTAAAAAAAGAAAATGGGATCAGGGTTAAGAAAATTTTAGGGGAAGCCAAAGGAAGGGCAAAACACCTCAAGAACCTCTAAACTATTTGTTTATACCAGGTTAATAACATTATATGAAAAAAAAATATCAAAATCCCTTAAGCATCAATTGATGCTCAACTGATTCTCTATTTCAATCTTCCTTCATAATCAACCATCAAAATCATTATCTGTCTTAATTTTTAAGAACTGTGTGAACTGGTCCTTCTAACTCTGCATCTCCTCCTTTCTTCTTCTTCCCCCATTTTTTACTACTGAGCATGATGCCTTGTGGTATGGAATATCTCTATGGAATATCTGGAGATAGCTTTCCAAACAGTCTCCCCACCCAGCTAGTTCTCCTCCCTCAGCCTATTCACTGTTGGAGCAGTATGAGGGGCAGAAAGGCCTTGGCTCTGTCTAGTGTTCAGCAATAATGAAACTATTCCTATATTTCCAGCAGAAAAATCTAGAATACAATCCCCTACTAGCTACTATGAAGAAAATTCATTCTATCACTGACAAATCCAGAACAGATTTTTTAGTGTTTAGAGGGGATTTGTGAGGAATCCTCAGAATCTGACCATGATTTTTGAACATGTCTGCATTCGAAACAAACTGAGATCAAGACAATCATGAATGCCTATGGGGAGCAGCCACCTTTGGTAGTAGTGTAGCTTGGCTACAGCTGGCAACTACATGCCATGCTGATGCCCACTCCCTGTCCTGATGGGACAGGGAGGAGAACTAGAAGCGGGTGAAAGTTGTGGGCTGAGATTAAGAGTTTAAAAATATTAAAGTAAAATATAACAATAACAATGATAATAACATTAGCAGTTGAGAGGGGATATACCAAAAGAGACAGAAAAATAAAATGCAAGGGAAAAACTCAAACTCATCACTTACTGTCAAACACCCAGCCTGTCCCACAGCAGCACTTGGCCCCTCTGAGACAGCTGCCTTCAGTATATACATAGGGCATGATACTCTATAGTCTGGAATATCCCCTTGGCCAGTTCAGGTCAGCTGTCTTGGCTGTGCACCCTCCTGATATTTTCTGCATCTCCATGCTCTCAGAACATGGGAAACTGAAAAACACTTGACTTAGCATAAACCGTACTTAGAAGTAGTGTCTAGAAACAGAAAGTCACTGCTATTTCAGGCAACCAGGCAGCCCAATGTGTATCTATTATTAAATACTGAGGGAAGAAATATTATTAGATATGTCCACATTTTCTGAATTTCTATTTGGCAAGTTTACCATCTTCATAAAATATAGTTTCAGTGTTTTCCTTGGGCCTGCTCCTGCTATTAACATACTTGAAAAATTCCTTTTTGTTCTTTGACACATCACTAGGCAGTGACAGTGATCTTGAGATGTGGTCTTCTGTATTTTCGCCCTGCATATGTGAGTAAGGGCTCTATGGTCTGCCTGCGAAGTCTGATCTTGCTTCTGAAGATCACAAAATCTCTCTTTCCTTAGAAGTTTCAAGAGGAGTTCCCTGTTGAGCCAACCAAGTCTTTGTCTCCCTCTTGCTTGACCTGTGACACAATGGGATGTCCATCTCATTATGTCACAAGTTTAAAATCTGTTCCTTTGCTTTTAAATGATGTTTCTTCAAAACTGAGCAGTAATCATTGATCCTTAAACCCTCAAAAGCAGATTCCCAGGAGACACTGCTAAGTACCTGAACAGCTTAAATTTCCGTCTCTTGAAACTCAATGTAACAATTCTGCTTACCCTTTTATATTTAAACAAAAATTTTACACTGAACTATTTCCTGATCACTGTGGACAATGTACCACATCTCTCCTGAGTCCTTTTGTACTTATAAATATCAGTGTAGAAGAGCACCCTTTGTAGTTGACTCACTGAGTACTTGTGACCGGAAATTACCTTCAAACATTTGAGAATTTCCCAGAGCTGCTTGTCAGAACAGTATGGTTTTTCCAGTTGATATCTGGAAAGTTGAAATCTCCCATGAGGACAAAGGCTATGAATCCAGAGATTTTTTTTTTTTCCTAATTGCCTACAGATTAATTCCACTGTATTAACATCCTGGTCTGGTTATTGGCAGTGGACACCCACAGAGACATAACCTTTGTTTTCCATCCTTTTAATCCCCACCAAGAGATTTTTCCCTTAATTGTAAAGGGCTTTAGAGTCAAGCCTCTCCTCTACATTTAGTGCAATATTTGCACATTGCCTGCACAGGCTATCCCATCTGATCTACCCATAACCTTCCAGCACTCAAGTCATGGGACTCATTTCATCAAGTCTCACTGATACTAATGACATCACAGGGAAATGATCAATGCTTCCAGTTCATGCTGCTTGTTTTCTCATACTGCACGGATTGATGTACACACATTTCAGATGTGCTCCTAATCCCTCAGTGCTCCCTGGAGTAGCCTGAATGTTCCCATTATTATTGCTACCCCCAAACAGTGTCATGTTATCCCCTACCTTCCCAGTTCCCTGGAATTTTATGCCCCTTTCTCATCAATCCTAGTTTAAAGCTCACACAAGAAATCTTGCCAGCTTGCAAGCAAAGAACTATTTCCCCTGGTTTGGATATGCTGTCCCATATAAGTTCCAGCATAATTTATTTGTCTCAAGGACACTTCTTTTACTATAAAAAATAAAACTTTCTGAATGGGAAGGCAGATCTTACACTTTAAATTCTCTATAATTTACACATAAATTATATCTGACAGACATTAGGAACCTCCAAAAATCATACAGTCCTGTGTTATTTTTCAGTGTGTTATATTTGGTCCTGGTGCCTTTAGATGTTCTGTCCTTTTTACACCATCTCAAAATCTCATTACTGGAGACCTGGCTCCTTAAGTCCACAGATATGCACAGTAATTACACAACATCTCTGCTTGATAGTTTTCATTTTCAGTCTTACTTGTGTTCAAACAAATCAGAACACATACTTGAATTTCAGGGATATATAACCACGTAAGGATAGGTCCATAGGTTTCAAAGGGTTAAAATGCTCTTTTTTAAATGAGCTATTTAGTCACTGAGCTGGCAACATCTTCCCTCTTTTCATGTTCTCTCTCTCTGCTGATAGAGTTTATCCATTCTCACACACCTTGTTAACATAGTATTTGTGAGAAAAACTAATATGCTAGTTAAAATGTTTGTTCTATTAACATTAAAGATATTAACAACATTCCGTTTATTACTATTCTTCCGCCTGCTGAAAATATTTATTTAACTAACTACTATTTAATATTTAATTACACATTATAAATTTTATGTCTTCATAGGAGGTTCAGATGACGTAGTTGGTATCCCTTACCTTCCCTTAACGTAAGGGAAATAAAAATTAGTATTTTATATGTTTTAGTATTTAGTATATGGTTTTTGTTAGCATCAAAACTTCTAAGCTATCAAGCTAAGTTAGTGAAAAGCTACTCCACTGTTTCCATTATGTTGTGGGCTTAGCTGACGTTTTGCACAGACTACAGTAATGTAAACCTGAAGTAGCCCTGCAGACTGAGAAGGTACCTATCCCAA